GCAAGCTTCCCCCACCCCACTGCCCCTCCCCCGGTTCCCGCGACAATGTATGAATCTATGAAATTATGTTGGTAGATTTCCGATTTCGATTCTTCCAGCTGGGGGGGGGGGGGTCAGCTCAAATACATTACGAGCCCCCACCCCCACCCCTAAGCGGCGGAACGGGGAGGGCACCGGGGCACCGTGCCCCCGTTTGATTTTTGCATTTTAACATTTGCCCTATGGGCGTTGCCTTTAAAGAATGGGACCAAAGTCGGCAGTGCCCCCCTTAATTGAAGGTGTTCCGCCGCTACTGCCCCCCCCCCCATCCGAAAAGTTGGAGAGGCTCAGCCCCCCCCCCCGGTTCCCGCGCCACTGCCTCCCTTTCCGAATGGGATGGGATTTGGATGGGATTTTGGCAAAATCTTGTGTGCGCGCTAGCTTTTGAGTTCACCCCAAACCTGCTGTCACCTATCGACGGCTGTCGGAACGGTATCTTGGTCGGAATTTGGTCGGAACCTGTAAGAATCTTGGTCGGAACGGTCGGAACAAGAGGTGGGGCGTTCCACGACAAATCGACAAATAAAAAATTAAAATTGCACCCTCATATTTTATTTTTCGTTGAAAACTGGTGTAAGGGGTTGTGATGGGCGGGGAAGCCGGCTTTGGCAAGGATTTTTTTCTCCGAACAACGGTTTCCGAGATATAGCCTCGGGCAATTCCTGGAGGTCGCGCTGCAGCCCTATGTTTGGCGGCCTATAACTCAAAAACTATTGGTTTTCTACGATAAAAACTTTATATGGTTCAGCTCACAATCAGACAACAAACATTTTGGCTATCTCGGATTTTCATTTTTTGAAAATTTTGATCACGTGACCTTTTGACCTATTTTTCGAAGTGACCTTGATATTTTCCCCACTGAAAGTTGCAATTTTGTCTGATGACGATTAAAGCCTTATCGATTGTCATTCATATGCGAAAATAAAAAAAGTGGATATCGCCCTGCGTTGACCTCAGGTTAGGTCATTTTTATGACCTGTCCATTATTACGAGCGGGAGCGACAGTGAGATCTCGAGAATAAAGCATGATAGCGACAAGCGGTAAACGATGCAGGGTACAAACGGATAAGGTCTATAATTTTTACTGAGGTCATTTTCAGGTCAGGTCAAAGATGACGTCACAGGAGCAAAAAGGAAACCAAAATTGCGGCACTACATATATATGAAGTTTTTCTCGAATAACTTTCAAGGTATCCCAGCTAGGAACAAACCAATAGCACTATCGTGATCCTCTCGTCGATCCGCATCGGAACATATGTATGTTGACCTCGAAAGGTCGAAAGGTCAAAAGTTGACCTTAGGTCACGTGACGAGCGGGAGTGACAGCGAGATCTCGAGAATAAAGCAAGATAGCGACAAGCGGTAAACGGTGCAGGGTACACACGGATAAGGTCTATAATTTTTACTGAGGTCATTTTCAGGTCAGGTCAAAGATTACGTCACAGGAGCAAAAAGGAAGTCGAAATTGCGGCACTACATATATATGAAGTTTTTCTCGAATAACTTTCAAGGTATCCCAGCTAGGAACAAACTAATAGCACCATCGTGATCCTCTCGTCGATCCGCATCGAAAGATATGTATGTTGACCTCGAAAGGTCGAAAGGTCAAAAGTTGACCTTAGGTCACGTGACCTAAGGTCAACTTTTGACCTTTCGACCTTTCGAGGTCAACATACATATGTTTCGATGCGGATCGACGAGAGGATCACGATGGTGATATTAGTTTGTTCCTAGCTGGGATACCTTGAAAGTTATTCGAGAAAAACTTCATATACAGGGTGATCCAAAAAAAATGGAACCCCTAACTTAAAATGTCTGTAAGTCCGAACATATTCATTTTATTGACAAATTGCAAACACCATTAGAAAGAGCGTTCAATTCTCTATAAAACCAAATGGATTGAACTTAAATATTACTATGAATATTACCCTAGTTATATGCCCATAAAATTTGTGTCACGAAACTCAGTGAAACGGTTTTGAACATTATGCGCAAATCGCGCAAATCAGTGATTCACTCGGTTTGCTGTTCTGACCGTTCTGACCATGTCGCATGTTGAAGGTTCATGAATAAAAATAGCTCATTCACGTGCTATTGTAGTGAATTTAAATTTCAACAGAAGCAAAAAATAAGGTCATTCGGTATTGAACCACCGTGAGACCAACGGCTGAACACAGGTGTCTGATAAAACTTCTTAGACAAGAGAAGAAGTGGGGCGCCAAGAGAATTTTAAGAGAGTTCCCTTCTAAAGGCTGGAGTTTAACGACGGTGAATAATATCATAAGGAAAGTTGATCAGTATGGCACAGCGAAGAGGAAACTCGGCAGCGGAAGGCCGAAAAGCGCAAGAACCGCCAAGAACATTCAGGACACTGAAGAACTGGTTCTCAGTCAAGAGGCCACACCTGGGTCGCATCTCTCCCAACGTGAAATTGGGAGACAGCTTGGCGTCGCTCAAAGTTCTGTGAACAGAATTGTGCGAAACGACCTTCATCTGCACTGCTTCAAGAAGTTCCGTGTCGAAGAACTTTAGCCGGGTGAGAAGCAGAGAAGAGAGGAGAGGGCGGCAGAGCTCCTGAGACGCTACCCGGACGCTTCCTCCCTGCGACGTGTGTGGTTCTCCGACGAGAGTATTTTCACCCTCAACAAGCGTGTGAACACACAAAATGACCGAGTGTACGGAAGACAGCCAGGGACAAGACGCAGAGATGTCACACCGGAAAGGATCCAGGTTTCTTCGAGGTCCCAAGGGGATCGAGTCATGGTTGGAGGCTGCGTCAGCGCGATGGGAAAAACCAGCCTGGTCTTCATCGACTCAAGTGTCCGCCTGAATCAGAACACCTATCGAGAGATCCTGGAGCAGCACTACTTTCCGGACATTAGGACGGTTTGCGGCTCCAACTGGACGTTCCAGCAGGATGGTGCTCCGTGCCACACGGCCCACTCAGTGGTCGACTTTCTGGAACAGGCCTGCCCGGCCTTCATCGAGCCAGATGCCTGGCCACCTAAGAGTCCTGACCTCAACCCTTTGGACTTCTTCGTGTGGAGCGAACTGGAGCGAATGGTGTACAGAGGTCAGAGGATCAGCACCATCGATGAGCTGAAGGAAAGGCTGACGGCCTGCTGGGACCAGTTGTCCCAGAGACTGCTGGCCCGCGCAGTCGGAGCCGTCCCCAAGCGACTGCAGGCCTGCGTGACGGCCCACGGAGCTCGGTTTGAGCACATGCTGGGATGAACAGCGGAAGATAGGAGTTAGGACGCGTGTATCTGTCCTATTGAGTGCTTCTGTGTAGACTTTTATGCAATAAAATTGAATTTGGATGTGGTGTTATTCGCAAAAAAATCAAGAGATGGAATGCTAAAGCCTAAGCTACACTAGCATGAATTCCGACGTTTTTTCGGTTTCTGCGGGATTTCGGTTCGCGTCGTCAAGTTCGCCTCATAGCGAATGCATTGCGCAAGCTACACTGCCAGTCTGGCGTCCCGTGGAACGAAAACCCGCAAAAACCGACGAGTCGGAACCGAAAAAAAGTTCAGAGCTGTGAACTTTTTTTCGGTTTCTGCGGGATTTCGTTTTAGTGATGAATGATTAGAAGTGATTGTTGCTAATAATAGTGTGACGATGGAACAGTTTCAACTGTAAATAATGAAAATGGTGTAATTCATGATTAAAGAAGACAAGATGTGTTTCAAAACTCATCATTCTACTTCAAATATGATAATTGTAATTAAGCTGACAAATGATTATGATCGAAAATATATTCTTGTTAGTTGTAAAATCTTTAAAACAATTATTTAATTATGATTTTGTTAAAACACGACAACATTTAACATGAATAATTAATTAATTTGATCACTTATCCATCACTATGCTATAAACAACACCGTCCACGCGGCGGCCGCCCGGAACGAAAAAACGCAGAAACCGTAAAAACGCGAAAACCGAAATCACGCAGAAACCGAAAAAACGCTGATAGTGTAGCCTGAGCTTAACGGATTTCAGTGCGTTGTTAAGATTTGGCGATTTCGTTTCACTCAGTTTTCTGACGCTCATTCCAAAAGCTAATAGTGCGTCAATGCTTTACAACATACATGCACCAATTTGACGTGATTTTATAGAGAATTTAATGCTCTTTCTTATGGTGTTTGCAATTTGTCAATAAAATGAATACTTTTGGACTTATAGACATTTTAAGCTAGGGGTTCCAAATTTTTTGGATCACCCTGTATATGTAGTGCCGCAATTTTGACATCCTTTTTGCTCCTGTGACGTAATCTTTGACCTGACCTGAAAATGACCTCAGTAAAAATTATAGACCTTATCCGTGTGTACCCTGCACCGTTTACCGCTTGTCGCTATCTTGCTTTATTCTCGAGATCTCGCTGTCGCTCCAGCTCGTAATAATGGACAGGTCATAAAAATGACCTGACCTGAGGTCAACGCAGGGCGATATCCACTTTTTTTATTTTCGCATATGAATGACAATTGATAAAGCTTTAATCGTCATCAGACAAAATTGCAACTTTCAGTGGGGAAAATATCAAGGTCACTCTTCGAAAAATAGGTCAAAAGGTCACGTGATCAAAATTTTCAAAAATTGAAAATCCGAGATAGCCAAAATGTTTGTTGGCTGATTGTGAGTTGAACCATATAAAGTTTTTATCATAGAAAACCAATAGTTTTTGAGTTATAGGCCGCCAAACATAGGGCTGCAGCGCGACCTCCAGGAATTGCCCGAGGCTATATCTCGGAAACCGTTGTTCGAAGAAAAAAATCCTTGTCACAGCTGACTTCCCCACCCATCACAACCCATTACACCAATTTTAAGCAAAAAATAAAATATGAGGGTGCAGGGCACTTGTCGATTTGTCGTGGAACGCCCCAGGTGGCATACTGGGTCCGGGACCTGCTGCCACCTATCGACCGTTGTCAGAACCAGAGGTGGGTCGTATCGTAGCCTTGGGTCGTCGGTTGGCGCAAGGTGGCGGGGTGGCGTGTTATGTTTGGGCCGATAGCGTGCGTTGTCAAGGCGATGCGGGCGATACAGCGGGCGTTGCCGTGTGTTGCGGTGTAGTGAGGCGAAGGAGCAGGAGCACAGATAACCCCTGGGAGTGAATTGAGGAGACGAGGTGAGGACAAAGGGAGAAGTCAGCTGACCTGACGGGGTCACAAGTCACAACAGTCAGGGGTTCTAACCTGAACCGAAAGGATGAAACACTGGTTGTTGTGGATGGAGGGTGGTTTATTATAATTGGTGTGCTGTCTTTGTGGCTATTTCCCCCAAGATATTTCCCCATGGTTTGGGTTGTTCTTCAAAGGTTGCAACCCGATGCCTTATAGGTAGTTGTAGTGGTGGTATAGCGCTCCACTTTCAGTTCCAATACTTCAACTTTGGGCCTGTCCCAGTGGGTATCTTAACTGATACCTTCCAGTGCCTCCAGAAACCTCCAGAAAGTTCCAGAGTGTTCCAGCAGCTCCAGAAAGCTCTAGTCAAAGTTCTAGAGACCTCCAGTAGCCCCCAGAGAGTTGTTAAGTCCACATTTCAATTTCACTAGAGGCTCACTGAGGCTCTGGTCTACAATGATGGCGAACCTGTCAACCTGTGACAATGGGCCTGTTCCAGTGCCTCCAGGAACCTCCAGAAAGCTCCAGCTTCCTCCAGAGAGCATTCCAACACCTCCAGAAAGCTCTTGCCGAAGCTCCAGGAACATCCAGTAGCCTCCAGAGAGTTGCTGAAGAGTTAGGGCATGCATCAGCTTGGAAAACTCCAGAGAGTTGCGAGTTCCCTATTTCACTGGAGGTTCACTGGACTGGAGGCTCTGGTCTACAATTATGGCACACATGTGACAATTATGAATGTAAACAAAAGACTTTTGACTTTTAAAATTTGAATGTAAAGAAAGTTGCATTTTATAATTTTGTAAATCTTTCGTAGGTACTAAAATTAAACAACACAATTTCTTTCAAGAGTGAAACATCATCATTCTTTTGGTATCCCTGACTGACACCAATCCAGAAATCTCCAGATAGCATTCCTGTGCCTCCAGTAAAACTTCTGGTAGAGCCTCCAGTCAAGAATTTTTACTGGAGGTGCTGGAACAGGCCCTTGGTTCCAGCTATTCCAGTAGTGGTTCCAGCAGTTTCCACCTTCAATGCTCCATGCTCTCATAGAATGCCAGTAGTGCCCATTGACTGGAGAACTGCTGGCACTGGCAGTGTTCTAAAATTAGATTTTGGTTGAGTGTGCCGATGAAGAAAAAGTCAGGATGATCAAAAAGAAGCAAATACCTATAGTATTATCACAAAAGGGTAATGCCATTTCAATGCCAAATGGTAAAGCACTGATTTCATGTCATAATCTTCACAGGATGTGAAAGAAAAGGATGTGGATTGGATGCATCAAATGTCAAGTCATATATAACCTGGTTGTTTGAATACATAAAACATCAATTTTTTAAAGATAAATAATACCCTGTTTCATATTTTGGTATGAAAATATTTCCCCATTATAGGTCACTGGTGTCATTTTTCACCAAAAATTCTAAACAATGGAACACTGACCGCTGGCTTTTTTTTTAGAACCATTATAGTCTGTTCCATATCAAGCTTGCAGTTGGAGTTTCTTCGGCAGATCATATGGCCTTGGGCAGATCACTCCTCCGCTCCAAGGCCCTATATAGAAGGTATGCTCATTAGGCCAAAGCAGCGATTTCCGTGACGTCACAGGTACGAAGCGTCGGACGGCTGTAATGCAATCCTATGGAAAATGACCCAACTTTAGGGCTCTCCCACATAGCTGCCAGACTCGACACCAAGGTAAAAATCGTATCATATAAAAGCTCAAATCAAGACGAACAAGAAACCTATCTGACGTTTTTACGTATTACTACCGGCTTAGACACTATTCAAGTATATTCAGAGCTCTGCATTAGCTCACTTTTTCTGCCGTCAATGGCACTACAAATGCCTATAGTCGGTGCACGTGCGCTTGTCGAGCGGGGACCACCAGTCGGGCGATTCGGAGCTGCCGCCCAATCAGAACGCCGCAATGCCGTGACGTCATTGGTCGCACACGACACGTTACGGAGATAGGGATGAGACAGCCCTGCCTCCGCTCAAGAATTTGCGTCTTAACATATAAGAGCAGTATATACAGAAATCACGCACTGCTTTCAGCAGGGCACTTCGGCTGCAAACTTGAAACGGAACAGAGTATAGGTATCCTCTATATATGGCCTAGCCAGTCCCTAACTTATTTTTTACTAAAGCACCTGACACTATTCAGTGTTGCATCAACTGTTGGGCCTGTCTCAGCACCTCCAGTCAAAATTCGTTATGGGTGGCTCTTCCAGTAAGTTTTACTGGATATGCTGGAATGCAATCTGGATATTCAATCTGGAGATTAATGTAATGTCTGGTCTGGACACAGACTCTGGTCTGGACACAGACAGATAGGTGGTAATTGGGTCAAATGCAGTGATTGCCATGGCGCCAAAAGTCGTCAAACGCGATACTGCGTTGGTAGGGTAGCGGTCGGCTCAGCGACAACTCGAGGGCCACGGTCATTGATCCAGGGCGAAGGTCGAGCCCCAGCGGGACGCCGGACGAGAGCGCTGAAGGCTGCATCGTCAGCGTGGGCACGTGAGGAGCCTCAGCAGTCGCCGGGAAGCCTCGCAGGTTCCTTGTAGGACCAGCCGTATGCTGTCCGTTTGGCCCTTCTTCATGCGTGGGACCTTTGGTAGATTAACGGAAATTTCTGGCCCGCGCAGACGCTTTTGCGAGGCGTCCGCGCGGTCTCCACTTGGCATCAGCAACCACTTGGCCGATTTACATGCGGTAATTTTGTAGGGTAGCTTCATTCCTTCTACCCACTGTTGGACTACTCCCGATGCATATGGGTGACCCCTTATGCATGTGCCACGACTTGCAAAGCCAAGAGGTGTCAGTTTTGTAACCATTGCAATGTCTCGGTAACTACTGGGCCGATTGCGCTGAAAGTTGGCATGTTGGTAGGCACGCACTAGGCAATGCATATTCATGTGCCGTAGTTGGGGTGCTGCTGCACGTGCGCACGTGCAGGGGTTGATTCCAGATCTCGAGAATGGCTGGACCGATGGCGCTCAACTTTGGTACACGGTTAGGGACCGGTTAGTAGGGTGCCGTGCAAAAGTCAGTTGGGACTCATTTTGCACGTGCGCACGTGCAAGGTGCCGCTTCCAGATATCGAGAATGGTTGGGCCGCTTGCGCTCAAATTTGGCACATCGCTAGGGACCGATTAAGTAGGGTGCTGTGCGCAATGTTAGCTGGAGGTACCCCCTCGTAATTTCACACGTGCAAGGCCCACCCTCTCGCTCGCTCCGTTGGTCGCCCCAAAAGGCGTTTTACTGGTTATCAATCTTCACAATCTTTAATCGTTCGCTCGCTGATAACAGCTCATTGATGATCACTATAACAAATGCCTTCCAGGTGGAACTGACTCCCGAAGAAATAAACTCCTTGCGCGAAGAAATGAATTCTCCGCGTGAAGAAATCAACTCCCTGGGTGAAGAAATCAACTCCCTGCGTGACGAAATGAACTCTCCGCGTGAAGAAATCAACTCTCTGCATGAAGAAATGAACTCTTCGCGTGAAGAAATCGACTCCGCGCGTGAAGAAATCGACTCCGCGCGTGAAGAAATCGACTCCGCGCGTGAAGAAATCGACTCCGCGCGTGAAGAAATGGAGGCTGTGCGTGAACTAATGGCTGAACTGAGAAGAGAAATAGATGCTCTAAAGGAGGAGATGACAAGCGCTCAGGAGGAGAACGTCGAGGTGCGCTGTGAGGTGGCGCGCCTGCGCCAGGCGCTGGTGGAGGAGCGCGCCGCTCGCCAGGACGCCGTGGAGGATCTGCGACGGGAGATCCGCCTAGGATCGGCGCCTTCCGGCCGCTCCCAGGGGTGAGACCGAGAGGCAGCAGGGGTGGCACGGGGTGGGGGGAGGGGACACTGGACGGGTTTCGTTTGTCGAGTGGTGCTGTGCTCTGTTGGAAGAGAAAACGTGTGGAAGTTAGTGCTAGTAATGACTAACCTGATGACGACGTCACGCCACGTCACGCTGGCGTCATCTCGTCACAGTGACGGCGAGGAGGAGCTGGCGCCACTGAAGGACGACACGTGTGACAAGGGTGACGCCATCAGCGACTGTGACGTCATAACCCCATCTGCGGAGGAGGCGCGGCCGGCAGGCGGTAGCTTGAAGACGCCTGTGCCTAACATCTACCACCTGGACGCCGAGCTGCTGAAGATGGTGCTGAGCAAGATGGACTGCAGGGAGATGTTCCGCGCCAGGCGGGGTGAGTGTCCCGGCGACTGCCGAGCAGTCGTGTTTCACAATAATATACCAGTCGATGTTTTCCTTAGCTAACAGATAGGCCGCTACTGGAGAAGTCTGACCGGGAGTCTGCATGTTGATGAAGGACTGTTTTAGACGTGAACGGTCACTAGAATATGGTAGTTACCTGCGTGTTAGAGTTGCAAATGCTGTCTGTCTAAGAACTTTGAATCTGAAGTTTGCCACTAACGTGAGAACTGTTAACATGCCAACCGGTTGCCTTTTTTCCGTCGGTGCCAACAGTCAGCCGTCGGTGGCGGTCCGCCGTCGACGATATCGTCAGCGACTGTCGGCGGGAGCTAACCGATCAGCAAACCGGCGGTGGAGAGGTCCCGGCGCCGGCCACGAGCCTGGAGCTCGTGTTGAAGGTGCAGGACCAGCCGGGGATGACCGAACTGCAGGCGCCGACCGCTGAGACGGACACCGACCTCCGACTGGTCGGTGAGTCCTGTGTGAAACGCGCTACAGTACACACGACCTGACCTGGTCCTAATCTTACTAAATGCCGTGAATGCGCATTCACGGCATTTGGTAACATTCATAACTATTCCACATTCATTTATTCATTCGTTCAAGTAACATTCATAACCATTGACGCCATTAAGCTCATTTGACAAGATAAATGAACGTAAATGAAAATAATACCGTTGATATTATTGCCGGTAACTCCGGCCAGTGCTGCCATATCCTATTCACGGTATTGGTAAGATTGGGCCCTGGTACGCTTTGCCCCGCTGTAACCGTCATACCCTGTCCGTGTGATGACCAATTCACTGACGGCGGTGCATTATTCCAGCGGCCACCTGCCACGCCCTGGAGAAGGCCAACCTGTGCGGCTTCAAGCTGCGGGTCTCTGCCCTGCGCCGGCTGGCGCGGGCCAACGCCTCCAGTCTGCGTGAGCTGACGCTGCCGGCCGGCATCAGCGACTGGCAGCTGGAGGCGCTGCTGGAGCCGCTGAAGGATCTCGATCATCTCGATGTGAGCCCACCGGTGGACAGCTCCGGCAAGTGGCTGCGGCTGCTGCCAAAGTCGCTGACCAGACTGGACATCACTGGTGAGTGAAACTGGGTGCTGGTGAAACGCGTGGGTCTCTAGCGCACGCTGCATTAACTCGGTCCTGCGTCACTGGAACTCGGGGGCCTAGTCTGAAAAGGAAGAGAACGAGTCGTCCTGTAGTTGGTACATGTTCTGTTAGGGAGGATGGAACAAAAGACATTGTGAGCTGGCGAATGACAAAATAGTTGGCTGATGCTTCTTTGTTTGTTAGTGAGGCGACGGGCTGAGGTCCAATACATGTGATGAAGTCTGAAAAATAGTTGCACAATGTACAGCCCTCAGTAGACTGCGTGGTAGGTATTCTTTTTTCGACAAAACCGGTAAAACTCAAAGGCTATGTCATCAGTCGGTCGGAACTCACTGGAAATAGAGGCGCCATGCTCCACTCCTTCGATTGGGTCTATCACTAATTAAAGCATATGCCTTGTGTGGCAACAAAATGCAAAAGTTTGTTTTGGGGGCAAATATAAATTTTTGGGTTTTGTTGCCAAACTGGATGGAAAATGAAGACGATGGTAATGCCAACCAAAGGACGTGCGAAGCCTCGTGCGTCTTGCTGTTACGATTTCCGAGTGGCCGATAGCATAGTATCCGCGTTATTCTCGGTTTTGTCGAAAAAAGAATGCCTACCACCATGCAGTTTGCAGAGGGCCGTACAATGTACATATCATAGATATATGTAATATGTAGGTAATGTTCAAATGACTGAACACAGTGCATGACTCAGCTATGCATAACCTTTTATGTTTTTTATATGTATTTATGTGCATAATAGGGGAGAGTGGGGTAAGATGCCCAGGGTGGGAAAGACGCCCCACCCCCTCTAGCGACGAAACAAAGAATCGGACCTGGAAATTAATGTTCTTAGCGTAAAGCGGAAGCCTGCCTTGTTAACGGCACAAAAAATTGCGAAGCTCAGTTGGGCAACGGCTGGCTGATGACTGCATGTTTTTATTTGTTGCTTTCAAAAAATATTTTGGTGTCAGAACATTGTAAATATCAAAGAAGGTAAATAATTTTTGCGTCCCTTGCTATAGTCGTGATACATTAGAATGCGTGTACTGTGTCCTAAACAGTTTGTTTCATGGTGTAGTTTTATGGCTAACAAATTGTACTGATTTAATGTTACTTCGGTACCTTGGGGTAAGATGCCCCCTGTCCTGATGGGGAAAGACGCCCCCCTAAATCCGTAGGCTGTCCTTCAAACAGCCCGTCAAATCATTTATTACATACTTGTGATGTAGACAAAAGCCGATCTGGGACTATTGAGAGTCCAGTACGGTCGGGTGCTCCCCATGCCGGTCTCTCGGCCCACATAGCGACTTTTTGGGCGGCATCTGGCTCTGAGAGCCCTCACGACGGCCTCTGTAGGCCCAATTATTGGCTCCAGGGCCCATCACGACATCCTTTGAGGGCTCCCACGTTGGCCCCACGGGCCGCACTGGCATCGGAGGTCCCCACAAGCATCATGAAGACCTATAAGAGCCCCACAGTGGTCTCCGAACGCCACCACGGAGGCTTGTTTGGCCGCGCTGGACTATGATGGCCCTAACGATGATCTCTGAAGCCCCTTACGACTACTTTTGAGGGCCCTTATGATGACGTTTGGTGTCTACTGCAGGCTCGAAGGGACTACTGATTCGTTCAGGCGATTCACGTGCCCATTTATGTCACTTATAGTGCAGGGGGCATCTTTCCCAACGTCAGGGGGCGTCTTTCCCACCCTGTGGGGTAAGATGCCCCCTTTCACTTCTTCAGGAAAATGCTTAATAGCAAAAAAAGTAATAATATTTCAGGCACGAAAGTGTGATATTTTTGGAGAAAAATGATGTCGGCTTCCGTTGAAACTCCAAGTTTTTGCTTTCCCATCGTCATTTTCGAATAATGTATGACATAGTAAAACCCTGGGCATCTTTCCCCACTCTCCCCTACAGGTCAACAAAATTTGTAAGTCCATGATAGGACGAGAATGAGTATCAGAAGACATATGTGATCCTTTTTTGCTCTGGCCGTATAGGTACCTCTTTGTATTTTCTTTTGGTGAGCTGTGTCGAAATATCAGCGACTAATGCTCTATATAATCAGTGCTGACAGGTGATTCTGTCTGTCTCCACAGGCTCGGGAAGGACGCGGGCGCGGCTAAATAACAAGCGGCTCTCGGACGGACTGTTTGTCGGCTTGCAGCTGGCGACCGACCCGCTGCTGGACCAGCTGCGGGCTGCTCTGGCCACCCGCACAGTTACCAAGCTGCTCATAACTCGTAAGCACCAGCAGCAACATGTGTGAGCCATGAAATGCCGTGACATCGTGACTATGATGCACGGCGGGGGTCAATTTATTTCGGCTGTGCGATGAGTGCGCTGTTTGAGCAGGCGGGCGGGGGATGGGAAGGCGGTGGGACGGCACACAGATGCGTGCCGTGGACACTCCCTGTGGCCGGTGAGAACCAACCGCAGCGGTCGCCGTGTGCGGTACCCGGCCAGCGGCTGTAGGGGCGGGCCCTGTGTGTGGTTACACCGCACACAGGGACCGTGAACGACCCGCGCTGGTGCGCTCGCTCGCTCGTTACCTAAAAGGGCGTCCTGCTGGTTAGTATGTTTTGCCATGAGTATCAGCGGTTTGTGCCATTTCAGCTGCTGCAGTTGGTAAAAGTGTCTGTTTTCATGTTTTACAGGATCACCGTCTGTCACACCGGAGGCGACCACACGCCTCCTGACTGCCCTGCCCAGCCTACAGTATGTCAGTCCTCAGGGAGAGAGCGCCTTTTCCGGCACTGTGCTGGCCGCCCTCCACGGCTGCTCCGAGCTGGATACGGTGCAGCTCATAGACAACCGGCTCCTCACGGATATCCCAGCCCTGACCGAGTCAGAGGTGGCAGCGGTCAGCAGGTCAGTCGGCCGGACGGCAGCAGTGGGTGCGCCCGTAGCTGTGGTGTCTGTATAGACCACAATCACCCCAGGTATAATAGTATCCGGGGGAGTTGCTACCTATAGGAATACCGACACAGGGACATTGACAATGGAAACAAACGCGTCACAGGAACATTGTAAGCATCCGTAGAGAGTGCAGCTCCGGCCGGAACAGGGAACTGAAGGCTGTATTGGATTATTGACGTGGTCTGCTGAGGCTGAGCTGGCTCCTACGACCTTTACCATTTTGAAGTGACCAATGACTATCCCACCCGAACACCCCCACCAGGATGGCAGCGGCCTGCAGGAAACTGAAGAGAGTGGACGTAACTTCCTCCGTCGGTAACGTTCAGGCCGTCCTCTCCGCCCTGCGCAGCACGGACCTGAGACGTAACAGTGCAGGCCAGTCTCGCACGATCCATGTCTGGGTCCCCAGTAAGTGACGGCGGCTCTGAGTAGGTACCGCCCACACCAGCCAGCCGACACCGCGACACCGGCCTCTCCGACACGTACTGGCGCACACCGACACACGTGACGCCGTGTCCTAAAATTTGCTGTTTTGGTTGGGAAACGACATCCGAATTCAATTTCCGTTGTCACACTCACCTGAAATTTTTAAAACCCATTTTCCCTCACATCTTTACGTAGAAAAGCATTGTGTGGTTCGTCGTTTTACTTACTACATTATGGCACTATGACATTTAAATTAACGCGCCGCGAAATTTGGTATGACTATTTCCTCATCAAGTGTACACATAATATGCAAGTTTGAATCTCCTACCTTTCAAGGTCAGGTCACCAGGTCTAAGGTCACTTTGAATGACCCGACCTCAAATAACTTTTTTTCAACTTTGTCTCATTGTCAGAGCTACAGTAGATGACGGAGTCATTGGAAAGTTGCAGGATGTAATGAGATCATTGGTAGCTACAACCTGTATGTCTTGGAATTTTGATATCAATGACCAATCAGGTCAATTTGTTGGCATACCCATTACAAATCAATGGGGGGGGGGGAATCAACTGCCTGATTTTTCACTAAAAAATGATAATTTACTTCATATAGATCAACCTTAACTACTTTGAGACCTTATTGCTTTTGGGCAACTGTAAGGTCATGTGACGTCATCAAAGGTCACCAAAGTTTTGCTAATAACTCCATACAGGAACAAGATACATGTACGAGGATGGTCACATTGTGTTCAGCTCGTCAAGGCGCATCGAATAATATACATGATGACCTCGAGGTCACGTGACCTGAGGTCAACCTTTGACCTCCCAATTTCGAAGTCAACACACGTAATGTTTCGATGCGGGTTGGCGAGAGGATCACGATGGTGCCATTAGTTTGTTCCTAGTTTGGCTACTTCGATAGTTATTCGAGAAAAGCTCTCCTCATATCTAGCACCGCTATTTTGACTTTTTTACCCCTGCGACATCATCTTTGACCTGACCTGAAAATGATCTGAGTATTTTTGTAGACCTTGTCCGTGCATACCCCGTGCCGTTTACCGCTTGTCGCTATCTCGCTTCGTTCTCGAGATATACGGGGGGGGGGGGCACTTACCCGTTTTCCCCGTCGGTATTAAGTGGGCGCGGACCCACGTCGGTGTGCGGGTTAATGCTGTTGATCCCCTTGGCCCTTTCCACTTCTTTCTTTAGCATATCTGACCGGCAATTTTCCACTCTCATCCTTTTTTTGGTGAGGAGTTTTCCACCCTGACACCCAAGCCACAGTGCAGTTTTGGAACACAGAGTGGTGGCGCCACTAGTGGAGATGTCACAGAGGGTGACGACTGACGGTGTAAGTGGCCACACAATCAGACCTCATGACGTCACTAGCCAGTGATACATAACTATAATAGTATAGAGTTTGGTAACACCAGGTGCATGTACAAATAACGCAACATACGAGCAACGTTCATTGCTGGCAAAAATGCATTGAGAGTAGTGGTGACTACGTATAAAAATAAGCGTGGAACAAAAAAAGTATGTTCGTTTTAATGACGCCACCCCATCTTCCAATCTCATCAACTTTTTGAGTTAAAAAATAGGAGGCATTACTTTTGGAACGTCCCTAGTAGAAATAAAAATAAAACGCCGAACAAACATCTATTGCTATTTGACAATGTGTTCGGTTCTTATTAGTATGTGTGGTCGTATGTGCCATCACTAGCGACGGTGTGTAATCTGACGTGCTCGGTTTCCAGGACTTGTGTACATGCTGCTAAAAAGGCCTCGCAGCGACAGCAAAATCACCGTGCACGCCCACTAGAAGCATTGCTTCTCAGTGCTCGCCTGCTCTGCCGCCGGGGGCAGTACCGGAACTCGACAACAGATGGCAGCACCGTGTCCCGCGGGCAGCGCTGTATCGTACAAAATGCGAACGTGTTTCTTTTTTTTCCAGCCAAGGGAAGACACTATACCCAAGATTGCCTCATTATAACCAAACCAAAACAAACTTAGCTTACCCTAAGGTAAAACATACAATCCTACAAACCTACAAACCCACGACCTACAACCTACAACCTACGATATTCTAACACAGAACCTACAAACTTACACTCATGTTCCGTCTTTTCAACCCATCCGTCGTTTCCATCCTCAGGATACTGAAATCCCTCTCCTTCACGCCGCAATCCCTACTCCGGGCTGGACAGGCACCTTTATCTCATGCGGGCTGCTCCCTTAGGGCGCACCGCAGCTCCCAAGGAATCACACCCGTAGCCGGGTGCAGTGAGAGCATGTGAGAGCTTAGGGGATGCTCGGCCTATCCATTCGGGACGGGCTCAGTCCCGGCGACTCACCAGGGTGCCTGCCCGGACCAATGTCTCCCCCTAATTCCTATCATTCGCCCGGCTCTGCAATGGTCTTGTCTGACCGAAAGGGCCGAACCAAAAAAAAAAAAACAAAAAAAAACAACAACAACAAAACAAAATAAACGAACAAACAATCCTAAAACGTGCTGAAAAAAATTGCGTGCGGCTGACTCCGGACCCGCGACCCATGATCTACGAGGTGGACTTCTAACTGCTAGACTACGCAGCTAGCTGTCATGGCCGGCGGTGTAAGCCTGTTTTCATTCACAATGGAGTATTTCCCGGGTAGTGCCTTCCCTTGGTTGGAAAAAAAGAAACACACAAATGGCGTCGCATCTCAACTTTTGTAGTAACAAGTGCTTGGAGCCACCCTGACCGGTCGGATGGGTGCCGCCGCCTCAGACCGGTGTGTTTGAGCTCCCGTGGCTGATCCTGTGAGCAGAAATTGTAACGTCTGTTGACACTTCTTTAATAGACAGTAGTTATATTCGGTATCCGAGATGTACCACGCTCGGGGCCACTGTCCAGCCGTCGGTAAACCGTTGTCACCGTGTCGTCGGTACCACCATGGTGGCGTCACGTGTCGTGACGTGACGTCACGCCGTTATGCTGTTGTGGTGCAGTTTCCGTTTAGACCAGAGAGTCGTTGGAGCTAGCCGGTCCAGGCGACGTCGGACCTCGCCGTCACTGTGTCGTTGGTCCGGTCTGCTGTGGTTCGTTTAGACCAGACCAGGCTCGGGATATCACGGGCTATGATATCGCGATGGAAAGATACGATCGGTGGCTCAGAGGGGTTCCTCAAGGAAGTCTTTTTGGAACTCTTGTTGTCAGTGCATGTCAGGACCGAGGTGTTGAATACACAACCTTTGCTGAAGTGGCCACCCCAACTACGGCGTTTTCTTTGACGCAACCTTATAGTGATGATGTTAGTTACAGATAATGCCGAGGAGGTTGTTAGCTGTTATAACATTAAAGACAAAGCAGTTTTCGTTTTGTTGGGTTAGGCTCTTTCGGTCTGACGAGACCATTTCAGAGCCGGAAGGATGATGGGGATTAAGGGGAGACATTGGTTTGGACGGGCACCTTGGTGAGTCGTTGGGGCTGAGCCCGTCCAGTAGACAGGCCGACCAGCCCCCTGACAACCAGTACTGCACCTGGCTACGGGCCCGCCTAAGGAAGCTACCCGCATGGGATGAAGTTGCCCGTCCAGCGCGGAACAGGGGTTTGAGGCGTGGGGGGAAGGATTTGACTATCCCAAGGATGGGAAAGGTGGACAAATCGGTTTAATGTTTTGCTTATTATCTAATTACACCATGGCTCAAATCCGGAGTAACACAAAGAGGCTTTGTCGACGAACGTCGAAGCTAAGAATTATTAATGTCTATTTGTTAAAATTTATATCATATGATTACCTATAACATTATTAGAGATATTCGCTTTTATCGGACCGAGTTACACTCCCTGTCCCTCTGACGTGTTGTTCTCCCTTTCGGCTGCGCTTGCCTTGCCGGCTCGGCTAGGGCTAACGACGTTACCACGGCTCGGATTGGGCTAACGACGTCACCACGGCTCCGCTTGGCCTCGTAAAATGACGTCACACGATCCTTATTGGCTGTCTCGTAAAATGGCGTCACACGACCCTTATTCAGGGCCTCCTCTAACATACCCACTGGGTGGGCAAATGCCTACCCAGTCACCACAATTGCCCACCCAGTGGCGTCGATTTGCCCACCCAGAAGCAAATGCAAAAATAAAGGTCCGGCCAGACGTCCGGTAGGAACTAGGGGAAGTTGGGGGAACGCCGAATACTTTTTTCTGACGCCCTTAGCACGCAAGGTAGACAACATAAGCTATTCTTGTTGGCGTCATTCGAGAGGCCAGTCTTTTGCCTTTCAAACATACCAGGCGCATTTGATGAATTTGCATACCGTTAAGCGCACAAACTAAAAATATCAAAGAAGTGACTTTTTCGGCGTTGCCCCGGACTGCGGGGAAAGCCGAAAATGGAAGAAATGATCTACGGGAATGCCGAAATTGATGTTTTGCTATTTTATCTCAAATTTTATCCAGACTTCGTCGAAGCTGACACGCGTTTTAAGAGCTTGAGGACGCTTGGTGCACACTGGAAGTTACAATTGTGTGATATAATAAGAAAAGGCCAGGTAAATCATTCCTTGTTGTAACAGGCCGTTGTGTCGGTTAAAAGTGTAATTTGTGTGACTAAAAATACGCGTTGCTATTCTACAGCGGTAAAGTTCACGTAGCGTGCTTTAACGCGCGTAATTGCACGTTTTCAGCATTACCCCAGCCAGCCATACTTTCATTTGCAGGCCCATAACTTTTCAACGTGCTGTATAAATTTCAAATAGGCAGCACACTTATGCAAAGCCGTGCTGAAGATTACTTGACCGAATTGGCCAGACAAACGGTAGCATAATGAGTAGGAAATGCAGCTTCGAAGACGCATGTAGTACAAAGGAAACGTACCTTGAAAACGCTCTTGGCGCCCTCCCAGCCGAAGTATTCCGAATGACGACTGGTAACAAACATGCGATAATTGGTAGTCACTTAAGCTTCAGAGCATCACTGACAGGTGGCATCCATGTCGCACGGTTTTCGAAATATCTCGAATTTCGGCTTTGCCCCAACTCCGGCATTGCCCCAACTTCCCCTACCACTTCGGTTTCCCGGGAAAAAAAATTGCTAGCAGCCCGTGCCCCAGCCCCCAATCACTGCAGTGCAAGTTATTTTTTTACAATGGATGCATCTGAATGCAGGGGCGGTAGCAGACTTGGCGTTTGGGGGCGAGGGCAACTTGGCAACTTTGCCAACCCTCGGAGGGGGGGGGGGGGGGGGCGGTGCTAGTTTACAGGGGCCCATTGCCATAGCGGCCTCAAAGGCCCGTATGGAACCCCAGAGGCCAATGTGGGCTCTCAGAGGCCAGTGCGTGACGCCTAAAGGTGTAAGCCATGGGTCCCCAGCCAGACAACAAAATAGGGCCATCAGAGACCTTATAGGCTGATTGGGGACTAAATAGGGCCTCAATTTGGAGCCATCAGAGGCTAATGTGGGCCTCAGATGTCAGTGTGAGGCCCTTATAAGACTGACATTGGTCCTCAGAGACCGGCATCGATCCTTCAGAAGCCAGTACGGGGCCCTCAGAGGCACAAAAGGGTCAGTCTTGGATCTCAGAGGCAGAAAATGGGCCATCAGAAACCGGTGTGGGACCTTTAGAGGTCGGTTTGTGCCCTCAGAGGCCAGTTTAAGGCCCTCAGAGACCAGTACAGGGCCTGAAAATGGCAGTTTGAGGCCATCAGAGGCCGACTTAGGCTCTCAAAGGCTTATGCGGGTCCTTGAGGCAAGGATGGGACCCTCAGGGGTCAGTGTGGCACCCTAAAAGACAGGCTTGGGCTGGTGTTGGACTCCAGAGTCCAGAAAAGGCCAAGTTGAGCCCTCAGAGCCGATGCAGGTCCTTAACCCGGCAGTTGCTGGGGTATTTCGCCACAAACCGTTTGCTGGGGGGGGGGGGGGGGCGTTAAACGCCCCCAGCCGATAACTCGAGAACCAATAGGCGCAGCGAAACGCACGGAGGTGGCAAACGAAAGAACGCGACGAGACGCTTCATATGAGTACTTTAAAGTTGAATTTTGAGGTCACAGGTCGGGTCAAGGTCAGGTCAAACACCTGAAATCGGACTTTCAGTAGCATGGACTTCAGGACTTCACAATGGGCGCTTCTCGTCATAAACTCTGTCAAAACGGTGCACAATCCATCATATAAGGCCTACAAGAGTGACAGCTCCATGTAGGGGTCAGTCAAGCATAGGTCAGGGTCAAGGTCAGCTCAACCGGGTAGGCACATATTCCCGAAAATCAAAACTGATATTCGCAGCCTGTGACACATGTTTTATGGGTAATTTGGGGCGTAGAACACGATGGTGACATTCATTTTATCATATGTGCACGTGTTTGGCTCAAAAAGTTCAATTTAAGAAATGCATGTATCATGGTCGTGAAGTAGTCATGAGAAATTGCCAAGATTCAGTTCAAGATTTTGGAAAATGCGGAACGATAATCAATAATCGAAGATAGCCATTAGATTGTTCATGGTATTAGCAGTCTAATGGCGTTTACGGCATGTCTGTATGTCTATTCTGTGATTTTATATGATTTTTTGAACATATAAAGTTTTTGGTCGAAAACCAAGAAATCATGACGTCACTGAAACCTCGATAACTCAAAAATTTTTCCGGCCGATTTTTTTGAAATTTTGTCACAATAACCGTCAATCAATTCCCTACAGGTACCCAAAATTTGGCGCGCCTGCGGCGCGCCGTTTTTTTGCTATGGCCCAGCGAAAAAAGTGGGGGTGTTTAACGCCCCCCCCCCCCCCAGCAACTCGGGGGGTAACCTTCGCCCGTATAGGGGGGAGTCGAACGGACCCCCTCGATTTTTTTTGCGAATAACTCGCGTAAAAAGCGGCCGATCGCGACGAAACATTCAGTACCCTCGCGTTGATCAACTATACACCTACCCTGCAAATTTCATGACCCTGACCTTAATGACCTTTGACCTGTGACCTACTTTTTGAGACCATGTTTGGCCGGAATCGCGATTCGGTGTGTCGGCTCGCATTAGCCACGCGTATGCAGTCTTTTCGTAGTTTCAAACGTTCAAACATGGGATATGATGTTGCTCCCATGCATTAGGGTCATGCAAAGGTCACTTGAATTTTAGGTCAGGTCATGTACAGTGGATCTAGTAAGGATCTCCAGACGTAACTAGATGGCGTTGAGCCTTAGTCGAGTCCATGTCAAATTCAAGGAGAGGTCACTACCGAGCTGGCCCGTTTGGGAGGTGGGCTAGGGGGGGGGGGGGTGGCGAGGTCACGGTGCGGGTGACCTGTCAAACAGCCCCGGCGCGGTTGGGCACTGCCGCAGGCAAATGACGCACTACAGCCGGCCTGTTCCATATCGCGGTGGTGGGCCCGGCGGCGTATTCGCCAATTGTATTACACGAATCGGCCAACCAATAGCTTGCCTCCTGAGTGACGTCAGCGTGGCGTCATACTTTCGGTCCTCGCCCTGGTGGCGTCTATTGAAGCTAGGTTTTAAGTTATTGACATTTAAGCTACGCGGGGTACATTATCGCCGTGGCGAAGTGGTTAGAGTATGGGACTGGTGATTCAGAGGTAGGTGGTTCGAATCCACTCGGCGACTTCGATTTTCGTGTCATCTGTCATTGTGCGTTTTTTATACATTTGTAACGGCGTGCACCTAAGAAATCAGACGTAGGCATTCTTCTAATGAATATGTTGCATAAGATAGATATTTGCAGTCCAACTGATTGGTTCAGTTTCGGTATTTTCCAATGGTCTTTGTTTGTATTTGGTTTGGTAGCGGTGTTCTGATTTTCTGTGATTGACATCACTAATGCATAGTGCATACTATGCGAACGTAGCCAATGGAAAGACAAATGGTGCTGGGCGATGGCCATTCATTGATCAATATTTCTCACTGCCAATGGGTGATAGCACGCAGCATTGACAGGGGCGGCGCTGACCTTTTGAAAGTAGGTGGGCACTTGGCAAGGTAAAGTACCTAAAAGTAGCGAAACCTAAGATGAAAAGTAAAAATCGCACGCTGGTAAGCAGGCTATTAGATAGCTTTTCGTGTAAGAATCACCATTCACAAAAAAAGTTCGGCATAGCTGTTAGCGTAATCACGGGACGAGATAATCAGTTTCCAGCCGTCAGAGCGTCATCTATAGGAGCTATGCCCTAACTATAACTTTTACATTTCAGCCGCCAGGGGGATACCTAAGTCCTCTTACTTGGAATCTAGTTAAAGTCAAAAGATTTATATTAGACGTTTATGAAGATAACTTGG